CAAAGCCTTCAAAAACACACAGAACTACATACGTTAGCTTGAAGTCATTAAAATAATCATTTTTGATTAACTTAGTCATAAACTTGTACATTACTTAATTTTATTTATTTATTTTTATTTAATATACATTATAATGTGGGAGTGACTAATCATATAGCTAAACTTTCACTTCCTAACTAAAGTTAAGCTTTGGTTGATGTGTTTTTAATATCAGATATTTAATATTTAATATCAGACACGAAAATCTTAAAAAGGTGAGATTTTTAATCGTCTAAATTGGAGAGGAGTAGAACATGAGTAAAGGACAGGCTGTCTGGCAAAGACCAGATGTCCTATGAGTCAGATGAGCAAATGAGAGCTGTGAAAAGTGGAAAAAGAGGGAGAAAAGAGAGAAACAGATAGATCTAGAGAGACTGAAGGAAGGAAGGGGAAGAGAAGGTGACTAAATTGTGGCAGCATGTGCTCTCACGGATGATTCATCCATATGAAGGAGAACAGCATGTGGCTGCTGCTGCCCCCCAGCGGCCAATCAGCATCATACATGGCCACTGCATCTCACATATCGATTAAACAAACTGACGAGTAAAAGACAACATGTTCATGCACTGTTTTCTCTCTCTACCGTTTTTATTCAGATGAGTGAAACACTTTCAGTTACAAAAATGACTTTAAATGAACAACACTGTACAATGAACAAGCGAGTTATTTGTCAACTATTTTTTGGTTTCAGAGATAATTACACCAAAAGGCTAACCTGTCACCATAGGGCGAAAAAGAGAGACAGAGGACAGAAGAGAAGTAAAAGGAACTGCTCAACTCAAGTGAGGAAAAGAAAGAAAGAATGGAAAGGGTAAAAACATGACCACGTACATCAACAAGCAAAAAAGACGCACATATCCACGCCGAAATAACCGCATATCTGTCCAAGTTTAGAGTGTAAAATATTCACGCGCACATGATCATATGTACGCAGACAATGACACCCACGCGCTCTCATTTACGCACACAGTGAGCAGCGAACATGAAATCAAGGAGATTCAGGGGACAGATTAACACAACTAACCCCCAAAAAACGGAAACAAAAATTAATCTCAGACATACCAAGTCTTTTCTTTAAGATCATCATCACCACCATGAAGATTTTCCCCCAAATAATGAATAATTAAAAATATACATTTCATCATTATCTTCATCGTATGTTACTTTGGATAGTTGAGGTTATACCTTCAGAAACTGGGTTGCTAGGTGACCAGGAAAAGAGACAAAAGAAAACAGCTGAGGATGTTTTAGTGTAGCTCTTTGGTTTAACTAGATGTGTTTAAGTTCTTTGCTATTTTTAAAAATAATTTTAAACACCTTTGGACTGAAGCTGTTTTTTTATGTATAATATATATAGTGAGAGAGAGAGAGAGCAGGTATAACATTAGAGAGTAGAATGAGAACGAAAATACTCGTATTTGCAGTTCTCTTGGTCAGGCCATTTCAAATGCTATTTTTTTTCCTCTTCGGGAATTTTCACCCATTTCCGATTGTAACTAATTAATGAATTGAAAACCGCTGCGAATCAAACTCAAGGATTGTGTACAGGATTTTAGGGAGCGTATGTGTTGTGTTCGCTCTCAGAAAAGCGTGTTGCTTTGGTATCATTCTCTGGAGATTCACGCCACTGAGAGACACACACTTTACACACGCTCCCTTGCAGGCTACTTGCATATCAACATCAAGCTTTTAAGACGTCCGGAACTGCGCCTGACTGCAACGGTAAGAAGGAAAGCTAAAGATAACGCAAGATTAAAAGAGGTCCCCTTTTATTCCACTCCTGCGTTTTAAGACATCAAATTTGTCACCTAGCAACAACAGTCACCGCCAGCTCTTCAGTCACCTATCTGACTTATACATACATACACATGCAAAATAAGTGTGTATATATATGAAAAGGTGTGTTTATGTGTCCTGCCCTGTGTTTGGTGACTGGAAAAATGGTCCCAGGGGCCGAGGGAGTGAACATGCCAGAGCATCAGTGAAGTTCTTTGAGTGTTTCACCCTCATTTTTTTCGTCTAAATGTTCCCTGGACCGATCAAAACACTTCTCCTCGGCCCCTACTGACGGATGTAGCCCGCTTCTCTGTTTTAAAGCATTCATCTATTTGGTTTGTCGTTAAGAGAGTGAGGTATATGAGGAACTATCTCTCTTCTACACCCCCTAACCAGGAGACCGAACAACAGACACGCTACGAAATAAATACAAAACAAAGCAGGAACAGAAATAGGATAAAGAGGAGGAGTGAGGCAGAGAGCAAAAAGAGAGGAAGATGGAGCACTGATATGTTTCTGCTGTCATACAATACATACATTTTGATGTATTTTCTATCCAGGAACCCCAAATCCCTCCATCTTTCCTCTCCTAAAGATTTTGGTTTTGTAGCTGTTTAAAGCTTTCAGGTCAAGGCTGACTGCAGCACTGCGCTCGACGCTGTCACGTGTGTGCGGTAGCCATCACGACAGTAGCCATAGCAACACCATCCGTAACATCAGCAGTGGTGAGACAGGTATGTATGTACAGATACAATGCACGTTCCTATAGAACCGTATTCCTTCTAAGCCATGGCAGTGCATGCTTTTACTCTGGAAGGTTACTTCAGCATTGAATGAATGCTACCGAAACATTTGAGCAGAAGAAACACAGTGCTGCTTTTCCCCCTGATAGGTCCCCCCCCATTTGGACCGACAGTTGCATTTGTCAATGGATTTGGTTCGAAAGGTCGCCTTGGCAAAGGAAGTTTACATTTGAATACAATCTGGTGCCTCAAACACACCCACTACAAAACTGCATTTGGAATATATTAAATAAATATAATAATAATAATAAAAAGGTTTGTTAAGAAAATTCACAAACGAGCAAGAGGAGAATAAATAAAGAAATACATTTCTTAAAATGGGGGAGGAAGAAAACACAAAAACCCGAAAGAGAGATAGTGTGAATTTTTGGTCTAAGTAAATATCAGCATTTTTTTATCTTTTCACAATGTTTTTCTTCCATACATTAGCAATTAGTAAGCATTATAACATAGATCATTTACTACAAAATCTATAGAAGCACTAACTGACCCATTCGGACTATACGGTAACGTAGAGTTCTTGTATCCCTCGTTGAACCTGCAGCACTCACTGACTACAGATTTCAGCACGATATAAATACAACAGTAAGGTGGATGAGAGCATGTAAATTGTTGTGTATGTAATATTTGGTTCTTTTTAAAGCTTGTTTATTCTCGACTTTGGTTCTTTGGATGTACTTGAGCGTGTTTATCCTGGTTTCTTATTTGTTGAACTGAATTTTCACAGTATTGTTTCAACCACCTGATTAGATTCTCTAACTACAACTAGATAGGAACAAGTAAGAAACATAAAAAATGAGATTTCCACAAATACGTGAATACCTTTCCCCCAAATTAATGCACACAAATCTACACACACAGCCAAGAAAAGTCCCACAAAACAGACAGACGGAACGAAGGACCAAAAGTAACAACCCTCCCAATCCCCAAATGAACCTGAAACCTCTTCTTCAGATGAGTCCAGTGAGGTCATCAAAGATCCCACCACCCAGGACCAGGAAGAGTTTGAATGACAGGAGGCAGAGGCGAATCCCTTGCTACATGGTTCTGGGTGACCTCAGTGCAGAGATGCACGAAGGGATACTCTTTTTCTGTACAGCGACTCAATTTGCTCCTGCATCCATTTTTTTTGGCTTGGTTTGTTTTTGGTTTTCCTTTATGGGGAGTTTGGCTGGCTGTGAAGTTTTGCTTCATTTTTTGGCTTGTAGAAGCAGCAGAGAGGATGGGAGCAATTTCGTCGTGACAGATCCCACACGTTTCCCATGTTGCCATGCTGTCTTACCAGAGCGGCCTCGTCAAGGTTTGGGCCCCCCCACCCCATCTCTTTCTGCATCATGAGAATGATGAACTGATCATGTATAAATGAATCGCTTTGGTATTCAAAAGGGAGAAAGTGACTGAGGGAGGCATGAAATGGAATGAGGAAGGATACAAGCACTTAATTATCAAGAGAGAAATGAAAGTATTTACACTTAACTTGAGGCGTGAAAGCTAGAGAGGAGCTTGTTCTCACGTTTTTTATACTATATGACATTCATGTCATCGGACAAACAAGTGCATCAAGCTATGCAGTGCTAATATGATGAACATCAAAGACCAAACACCCAATCCTCTTGATATGCCTGATAAGACATGGAATGATGATGATGATGATGATCATACACACAAAAAAAGACTGATGGAAATATCTGCTACTTCTGAGAAAAAAAAATCGACAAGAATGAGGAAGAACCAGAGAAACACAACAGCGTTTGAGTCCGGCTCGATCATATTTAACATCAAATCATAAAAAACATGAAAGAAAATGATGTGATTGCATGGCAGATGATGATGAGCTCAGAGATGGCTGAATTGTTGTCACTGGGTCTGGTCCTGGATGGTTGGCTATTTACAGGTCCTTTGGATAAAGCTTTTCCATCCGTATTTTTGGTATTTGGTATGCTTGTATTTTTTGTCATAGTGAGTCTCTCAAAGTTCCATTATACTTTTTGGTATTCAGTACTTCACATGTTTGCTTCAAAGAGTTGCAGTTGTTCTATAACACACAGTAAAGTTCATTCTTTTTGATGTGTTTGGTGCTCAAGGATCTCTCTTCTCACTGCACTACAGTTTTTTTTTTGTTCTCCTTTTATTTATGTATTTGACTGCGTCCCGCTAAGCCGCGTGGTGTTTTTTTGGTTTCATCTTCCCTCCTCTCCTCTTCCTTCCACTCAGTCTCTCCATCTCTCCCCTCTTCTACTCTGTATATTTTTGGCATCAGTAGAGTGGGAGAGCAGAAGAGAGAGTGTACATGAGAGGAAACGAAAGGGAGCGAGGGGATCAAGAGATGCTTTGGTTGACAGTACAGGTCCTTTGGATAAAGCTTTTCCATCCGTATTTTTGGTATTTGGTATGCTTGTATTTTTTGTCATAGTGAGTCTCTCAAAGTTCCATTATACTTTTTGGTATTCAGTACTTCACATGTTTGCTTCAAAGAGTTGCAGTTGTTCTATAACACACAGTAAAGTTCATTCTTTTTGATGTGTTTGGTGCTCAAGGATCTCTCTTCTCACTGCACTACAGTTTTTTTTTGTTCTCCTTTTATTTATGTATTTGACTGCGTCCCGCTAAGCCGCGTGGTGTTTTTTTGGTTTCATCTTCCCTCCTCTCCTCTTCCTTCCACTCAGTCTCTTCATCTCTCCCCTCTTCTACTCTGTATATTTTTGGCATCAGTAGAGTGGGAGAGCAGAAGAGAGAGTGTACATGAGAGGAAACGAAAGGGAGCGAGGGGATCAAGAGATGCTTTGGTTGACAAGTAAGGTTTAATCTCCTCCTCCTCCTCCTCATGTGATTGGTCTTGGGCAGCGTCACTCGATTTTAGCCCCTCCAATCGAGTGTGGGCTGTGTAGCAACTCGCTGGAAGAGCAGGAAGAGATGGGGCTCGAGCAAGGTGAGGGACTCATGCCGCCTGTAACAGGAAATAAGGTTTTGGCAAGAGCTGAACCGCCCAATCCCATGCCGGTGCCTGTTGCCATTTGCAACAAAGAGGAGTGGTTGAGAAAGAGGGAAGAGGGAAGACCTGCTCCTTGGCCTCCAGAACCACCAATTAACACCTTGCTGCTGCCCTCAAGACTGGAAATGGGCAGCTGGCCACCACTGGCTGCTAGGGCTGTGGAAGAGACACAGTATTACTTACAAGCATCAACAAAACTGACATGTTACGCAATGAACAGGATGCGCTTGTACCATGTGAACTGATGAACAGATGTGAGAAAAGGATAATAGGAGTGGAAAGACGTAAACAAACACTCAAACAGAGAGCACACACATGACTGATATGAGGTGGCCGAGTCATTAGTGTCTCTCCCACCCTCCCTTTCACACAAACCTTGTATAGTAGCAAGTGGGTTGCTGCCAAGAAGAGCTTGGTTCATTCCTGTTTTAACTCCCCTCACTGTATTCCTGAGACACACAAACCAACCCACAAAACACAGAAAAGAGAAAGGAATACAGGGAAGAGGGAGGGAAAATGAAAAAACCATTTAGAAGCATAGTTAAGAGCTGGAAAAACAGTGCAAGAAGACAGGTTTTTGCAGAGTAAATATGGCTTTTCTTGTAATACAATGCAGGCCACACACCAGCAGACCTCAGTGACAATCCTTACGCTAAGATGTATTTGACCAAATCTTTTAAACAAATAAGCAATATCGCTGAACAAATATACAAAAATGACAGCACTTAAAAAATAAGAAATGTAAATAAAAAAATAACACAAATTAAATAAAAAAATAATAATTATTGTAGTTTCAAAACAAATATATAATTTGTAATTAATAATATTTGTATATAATAATCTAACTGATAACTTTAAATGAAGTGTTTACCTTTATACTGTATGTATACATAATACTGTTAAAAAAAATTGGAATCAATTTAATTGATGCATGAAAGTGACAGTAAATCTTGTTTTTACATTGTTACAAATAAATGCTGTTTTCTTGAGCTTTGTTATGACAGGAATGACAACAGATAAATAAATTGCATTTAAAAAATATAATAGAAAACATTTATTTTAAATTTGTAATAGTGCTTTACAATATTACTGTATTTGTGATCAAATTAATGTAGCCTTGGTGAGCATTTTTTCAATCTTAGCACCCCAAACATTTGAATGGTAATGTATAATTGATGTAAGTAATATTGACAATGACAAATAAATTTAAATGAGTGACTACGTGTGTGTGTGTGTGTATTTTATATTTGTGTGTGTGTGTGTGAGAGAGAGAGAGAGAACACAGACTCTGCTGGTTGTATTCACCTCAAACATGCAGCAAAGTCAGTGATGTAGTTAGAAACATCACCATTCTTTTTATGCCATGAACTGCGGATGACAAAACCACACACACAAAAATACATTTACACACACACAAACACTGCAGTTACCTACATTTGCTGAGCCACAGGGAGTAAAAGGTGATGAATATGTGCTGAGTGGATGTGTGTGTGTGTGTGTGTATGTATGTGGGAGAGAGAAATTAACTCACCCTGTGTTCAGACTTGGTGTACTGTGAGTTGGAGGGGCGGGGCTGGCATCACTGCGGGGAGGCGGGGTTACAGGAGATGGTGCAGAGCTTAAGGAGGGGCCGCTTGGGGTCAAAGGGCAAACTGATGACACTGACGGTGGGAAAGAGTTAGAGCATTTATCATATATATATATATAAATATCATTTAATTATATGTCTGATCAGCAGACGTCCACTTGTGCACCCTACCTGCTATACCGAGACTTCTCACTGTCTGCAGTGGTCCCTGACTCGGCATCTGTAAGGAAGACGCAGATATGATGTCACAGGTCAAAAGGGAAACATGATGGACAGAGAGTAACAGGGTGAAAAAGGAAAGAGGCTGGTGTCAAATACTGGAAGGCTTGTGCTCTGTTTGTGAATTTAAGTCACTCAACTACAAAATACTGAGTTTCAAAGTGAAAACATGCTAAATTCTTCCGAAAGAATTAGTAACAGAGGCTGAATCCTCCTAAAGTATGATGACAATGACAGTGAATTAGTTGTGTAAACTGGCTATGAGGGTATGAATTATTACACATTAAAATGCAAAGCAATGCAGGGTGGGTGAAATATATGCACCATTATGGGAATGATTATTATCATCTGCTCATGCAGGAGAACCTAGTAGTGTTGTGGCACAGGGTGGTTGGAGACGGGGGTATGGGCCAAGGGAGCAAGCCGGGTCGTACCATGTGCGGGCTGTAGCAGGGGGGTTTGTGCGAGGTGGGCTGGGGTTGGCTGGGCAAGGGAGGGGTGGCACTGGAGGGGTTAATACGTTTCTCTTTCTGTCGGCGGTTGCAGAACCAGACACGGATCACCTCCTTCTGCATGCTGAGCTTCTCGGCGATGAGTAGGATCTCCTCTGAGTTAGGCTTCTGGTTCTGAATGCAGAAAACACAACCGAGGTTTAGCATGGGATTATTAGAGGACATTCATTTTGGAAGCATTTAGCTACCACTTAAAGGTTTAGGGTCAGAACTTAACAGAGCAGAACAGACCAGCACTTTTATTCAGCAAGGATGTATTAAACTGAAAGTCAAAAAGTGACAGTAAAAAGACATTTGAAATGTTTGTGATGAAAATGAAAATGAAACATTTCTATCCCAAATAAATTATTTTCTTTTTAACTTTGTCAATCAAAAATTCATCTTTTTACTATAACATGAATAAATTTACGTAAAAATAAAAAATGGTTGTCTTATATTGTAATAACATTTAATAATATTACTGTTTCTACTGTATTTAAAAACAAATGCAGCCTTGGTGAGCATAAGAGACTTATTTTGAAAAATAAATAAATAAATAAGAACCTACCAACCCACTTATTCATAAGTTTTGGTCCTGCCAAAAGCTGAAAAACTACTGGATACTTGTATTTAAAACACTAAATGAAGCCTTTAACTTGAATATAACACCCTGTGTTGAAATTGCTATCTTTGGAGTACCAGAACATGGAATACCTTTGACTAACAATATGAAAAAATGTTTTTGCAAGAAGGAAAATATTGTTGGAATGGAAATTTAAAAATCCACCAAAAACTTCAGCGTGGATTTGTGATTTAATATTATACTCAAAACTAGAAAGAATAAAATATGTCAAAAAGGGATCCATTCAAAAATCTTGTAAAATTTGGAGACCTATGATTACATATTTTGAAAAGATGAAGACCCTACCTTCTAACTAATTAATAGGACTAAAGTTTTAGAAAGGCCATCTGACCTTAATATACTTGGTTATGTCATGCTTGCTTATATATCTACACAGAAAGACCATCTGAGTGAAATTTAGTTAGTTTTTTTTTTAATTGTGAACTTTTATTTACTTGTTTAATTAACAAAAATGTCTGACCTTAATATACTTGGTTATGTCATGCTTGCTTATATATCTACACAGAAAGACCATTTGAGTGAAATTTAGTTAGTTTTTTTTTTAATTGTGAACTTTTATTTACTTGTTTAATTAACAAAAATTTACTTTGATATATCTGCTTGATAAAAAAAATATGGAAATGTATCCTGCTATTTTGTATAGTAAGCACTCTGTTAATATTATTTATTCATATAATTATTAATTGGTCGTTTGGTTATTTATTTATTATTTTTCCATTTTCTGTTAATTCAGGGTTGTGGAACTGGGTGGGGAAAGAAAATAAATGTAATTGTTTGAACTTTTTTGGGTTTAAAACATGTTTGAAAAATTAATAAATAAAGTCCAAAAAAACAACAACCTACCAACCCCAAACTTTTAACTGGTAGTGTATATTGTGCAAGGGATTTGAAATCATGTGTTCTGACCATGATGAAGCTGCGTTCCAAGGCGATGCGGACGTTGGTCTCAATGCTGGTGCGTTTCTTCCTACGGCGGCCAAGCAGGGCCTCAAACCCCAGGGAAGGAGAGGAAAGAGCACTGGGACTTGGCAAGGTGCTGTCCATCGACATTGTTTCTAAGTAAACCATAAAAAAACTTTTTTTTTTTTTTTTACTGTTAATTCAATCACAAAATGTTTTATGTATGGCATAACCATTTTTTACATTTTATATTTTTAATGATGTGGCTTAAATGACACTCAAACTGTAGTTTAAGACAGAACATGTTTTTGAGATTGAAAGGAACTTAAAGGGATAGTTTAAATTCTGTCATCATTCACGCTCTATTCCAAACCTGTATGACTTTCTTTCTTCTGTGGAATATAAAGGAAGATATTTTGAAGAATGTTGGCTTCCACTGTATGAACAAAAACAAAACAAAAAAAACAATTGAAGTCAATAGGACTGTTTGGTTGCCAACATTCTTCTAAATATCTTGTGAAGAAAGAAAGTCATGCAGGTTTGGAACAAAATTTCTAATTTTCAGAATTGGGTGGACTATGCTTTAAGCACTATGTTTGATCGGCAGCTGTAATCTAATGCAGCTGTTTGTGATGGTTACCTGCGTCAGTCAGCCACTTCTCCAACAGAGGTTTGAGTTTGCACATGTTCTTGAAGCTGAGATTAAGCGCCTCAAAGCGAGAGATCGTGGTCTGACTGAAATCATTCCCATAGAGCTTCCCCATGGCCAATCCCACATCACCCTGTAGAAGGAAACAGAGACCAAACATTACTATACAGGGAAATACAAATCTTCTGAGTGTGCGAGTGTGTGTGTGTGTGTGTGTACCTGTGTGAAGCCCAATTTGATCCTTCTCTGTTTGAATGTGCGGGCAAATTGCTCCAGTTCCTCCAGATCACTGGGCTCCTCAGGATGAGAGGTCACTGTGTTCACGCTGCTCTGTGCAACCTTCTCTCTCTGCCACAAACCAGACACACACATACAAGACTCGAACATGAGTGTCAGATGTAAATGTGATGGGAGGAGAATAGGAGAGAATGCAGAATTGTGCACATTACCGTTAACAATTTTGGGGTTGGTAAGACCTTTGTTGTTTTTGACTACAGCTGCATTTATTTAATCAAAATACAGCAACAACAGTATTATTGTGAAATATTTTTACAATTTAAAACTGTTTTCTGTCTTCATACGTTTTCAAATTATTCCTGTGACATCAAAGCTGAATTTTCAGCATCATTACTCCAGTCTTCAGTGTCACATGCTCTTTCAGAAATCATTCTAATATGCTGATTTGGTGCTCAAGAAACATTGTTAACATTATAATCGTTGTTGAAAACAGTTAATATTAATACTTAGTCATACTTCTGCGTAATTTTTTGTTGAAATCATGATACTTTTTCAGGATTTTCAGAAGTTTACATTTTATATTTTTAATGATGTGGCTTAAATGACACTCAAACTGTAGTTTAAGACAGAACATGTTTTTGAGATTGAAAGGAACTTAAAGGGATAGTTTAAATTCTGTCATCATTCACGCTCTATTCCAAACCTGTATGACTTTCTTTCTTCTGTGGAATATAAAGGAAGATATTTTGAAGAATGTTGGCTTCCACTGTATGAACAAAAACAAAACAAAAAAAACAATTGAAGTCAATAGGACTGTTTGGTTGCCAACATTCTTCTAAATATCTTGTGAAGAAAGAAAGTCATGCAGGTTTGGAACAAAATTTCTAATTTTCAGAATTGGGTGGACTATGCTTTAAGCACTATGTTTGATCGGCAGCTGTAATCTAATGCAGCTGTTTGTGATGGTTACCTGCGTCAGTCAGCCACTTCTCCAACAGAGGTTTGAGTTTGCACATGTTCTTGAAGCTGAGATTAAGCGCCTCAAAGCGAGAGATCGTGGTCTGACTGAAATCATTCCCATAGAGCTTCCCCATGGCCAATCCCACATCACCCTGTAGAAGGAAACAGAGACCAAACATTACTATACAGGGAAATACAAATCTTCTGAGTGTGCGAGTGTGTGTGTGTGTGTGTGTACCTGTGTGAAGCCCAATTTGATCCTTCTCTGTTTGAATGTGCGGGCAAATTGCTCCAGTTCCTCCAGATCACTGGGCTCCTCAGGATGAGAGGTCACTGTGTTCACGCTGCTCTGTGCAACCTTCTCTCTCTGCCACAAACCAAACACACACATACAAGACTCGAACATGAGTGTCAGATGTAAATGTGATGGGAGGAGAATAGGAGAGAATGCAGAATTGTGCACATTACCGTTAACAATTTTGGGGTTGGTAAGACCTTTGTTGTTTTTGACTACAGCTGCATTTATTTGATCAAAATACAGCAACAACAGTATTATTGTGAAATATTTTTACAATTTAAAACTGTTTTCTGTCTTCATACGTTTTCAAATTATTCCTGTGACATCAAAGCTGAATTTTCAGCATCATTACTCCAGTCTTCAGTGTCACATGCTCTTTCAGAAATCATTCTAATATGCTGATTTGGTGCTCAAGAAACATTGTTAACATTATAATCGTTGTTGAAAACAGTTAATATTAATACTTAGTCATACTTCTGCGTAATTTTTTGTTGAAATCATGATACTTTTTCAGGATTTTCAGAAGTTCAAAAGAACAGCAACTGTCACTTTTGATTAATGTATTGTGTTTTTGCTTTTACCCCCAATCTTTTGAACGGTAGTGTATATTTTACTACAGCTGTCATGCACACAAAATTACAAAGTTCAAACATATTATTGTGTTTTCATTTTTAAATAGGGAACTGAAAAAAATGAAAAATAATGACAGTCATCACAGTTTTTACAGTTAATTATTCAGTTATTTTATTCTGTTGTATGATTTTTTTTCTTTATAGAGTTTTCTAAATTTAACAAATAAATATCTTTCCAAGTACCCCTTGGAATCTGTTTAAGTAACCTCTGGCATATGTTTACCCCTGTTGGGGAACAGAAAATATATGATCTTCCATCAGACATTTGTACCTGTGCTTGAAGACTAAGTCTGGGTGGAGCGGCCAGCAGGCTTCCTTGGTTTTGCTGAGGTAGTGGAATTAGATTTGGCATTGATAGCAGCCCTGAAACATACACAACCATTAAGATTTTATTTATTACAATTAAATCGAATCAGATTTATAGGATCATGACAACTGACATGCAACAACGCTTAAAGGAACACTCCACTATTTTTGAAAATAGGCTCATTTTCCAACTCCCCTAGAGTTAAACAGTTGAGTTTTACCGTTTTCAAATCCATTCCGCCGATCTCCGGGTCTGGCAGTAGCACTTTTAGCTGTAGCTTAGCATAGGTCATTGAATCTGATTAGACCGTTAGCATCTCACTCAAAAATGACCAAAGTGTTTCTATACTTTTCCTATTTAAAACTTGACTCTTCTGTAGTTACATCGTGTACTAAGACCAACGGAAAATGAAAAGTTGCGATTTTCTAGGCCAATATGGCTAGGAACTATACTCTCATTCCGGTGTAATAATCAAGGAACTTTGCTGCAGTACCATGGGTGTAGCAGGCACAATGATATTACGCAACGCCTGAAAATAGTCCCAGCTAGGTAACGTCCAATAAGCCTATTTTCAGGCGTTGCGTAATATCATTGTGCCTGCTGCACCCATGGTACTGCAGCAAAGTTCCTTGATTATTACGCCGGAAGCTCAACTGTTTAACTCTAGGGGGGTTGGAAAATGAGCCTATTTTCAAAAATAGTGGAGTGTTCCTTTAATGTTTAATTGTTTAATTCATATTAAACATCAATATTGTAAAAAATATCATTTTTAACACAACTAAAATGAATAAAATTACTTGAATAAAGATTAGATCACTTTGATGAACAAGATCGAATGAGAGAGTAAAATGATCTGATCTTCCCATCACTAAAACTAATAGTAAATAAGCTACCTTGCTGCCCTTGCTGTGTTTGTGGTAAAAGAAACTGTGTGGGTGAAGGCAGAGTGTGTCCTGGAACGAGGACTAACTGCTGCAGCTGCAGCAACTGCTGAATGTCCTGAAAGAGAGAAAAGAAACAGATGCTGAAAGGATGTGATGGTTTCACTCTGATGAATGACTGAAAGAGCAAAAGGACTGATACGGGAACATTATTAACTGTGAATACATTAAAGGCCTGCAGAGGGAATTCACCAAGAAGAAGCGAATAAGGTGCAGGCCTTTGAGTCTCACAATTGGCTGTTCAGTGAATTTTTCCCTAGTATCACCTCATTTAAGGTGTGCTGCTCAACGCTGATTGGCTGTACCTGCGCAGTGAGCTGGATTGGCTGAGAAAGAGGAAGCTGGTGAGGAGGAGGCGGGACAGGGGCAGCGGTTTGTTCCTGTGTGCTCTGCGATTGGCCCTGCGACTGTGGCTGAGCTGCCTGCTGACTGGCCTGCTGCTGGGCTTGCTGTTGATTGGCCGCGTGGGCCGCATGCGACTGCTGCACAGCTGCAGCGAGGAGCTGTGCCTGCTGTAAGAGCAGCTGCTGCTGTGCTGGCAAAAGTGCAGTCAACTAGAGAGAGAAAGAGTGGCAGAGAAGGAAAGTGTGGTGAAAATAAGAGTTAGAAAAGTGGACGAAAGAAAGCACATCTAAAGCAAGCAAGCGCACATAGGAACCCACACAGACACACACACATAAATATATATAAAGAGTAAGTGCGTGTGCATGTACTGGCGTGTTTGTCTTACCCCTGCGAGCTGACCACCCGTTAACATCAGCTGTGTGTGGGGAAGGGCTGTCTGAGCAGGTGTAGTTTGTACAGCAGCAGGTGACATCTCACCACAATCCTCCACCTTAGTCTGAGACATAGTGACAGAGAAATGTTGATGATGAATTCACGTGTCACTAAAAGAGACAGTGAGTGGGGGTATTGAAATGATCGAGGGTGATAAAGTGAGGTTAATAAAATACTAGCAGCTCATGAGGTGGAAAAACTCTAATCTGTAAACTGTAAAAGACTAACTTTTAATCAAATTGTCTTCAAAGCTAATTTTTGATTGGTCACAAACAAGAAATTGAGCAGATCTGTATGTAAATCACTCAGTAATACAGGACACAAACATTCACATGCATTTACACACATTCACTCACCTTGGTGCTGCTGCTCAGTGTGGGAGAAAGAGAGAAAGGGTTGATTTTCATTGGCTGAACCTGTTGGAGGGAAACACATTGAAAATATAACTCATTTTTTGATCATGCTGTATTCAGATGAAAATGTACTGGTACCTGGCTGTCACTTACCTGATTATTTGAATCCGAGCCATTTCTTTCTGAGTCTGAGAAACACAATGAGAGAAGACAACATTTATGATAATTTAGTAAATTTAAGGTTTTAGTTAAGATAGTATAGTTAGTTTTTTTTGTTTTAGTACAATTTAGCTTTATTATAGCAAAAGACATGTTATTTATTAATATACATTTTTATTGTTACATTAACTTTTGTTTATTCTTTATTATTGATTTATTTTTTCATAATTTTATGAAAACAATTGTTAGCACAACATAAAAATGTATGTTGCTTTTTGTATGGAAATCTTTGTTGCAAATAATATATATATATATATATATATATATATATAATATTTTTTTATATTATTAAAAATATGCTGCAAAAAATATTTTTTCATATTTGTTATAGGGCTAGTGCAAATGTTATCATGTCATGTAAATATTAGAGCTGGAAATTCCTTTTTATCGAGCCTTGTTGCAGACATACAAAAATATAATGTAGCTTTATACCAGTGCTCTCCATCGGAGAGTCTGCCGCTGGATTCTCAACCTCAGTTGGCTTTGACATTCTGATATCTGTGAAAAAGAGAGAGGGATATGAGGTCAGTCATCAACTTTTACTACATGCTGATGCATTTAGAATACTTTAAAATATCAAGAGCCATGTTCAACGGTCCAATCCCATTCCACAGTTGAACAGCAAGATATATATATATATATATATACTGTATATATATATATTTTTTTTTTTTATATTATTAAATAGTTTTGATGAGGATAATGATGATGAAGAATGGAAGTGTAACAAATACAAATATGATATATTTTGAATGAAAAGGACACACAAATGCACACATTTTGATGCTAAAGAAAATGTAGAGGTCTAGATTCCTCGATTCTCACACAAGTGGAGACGTGCGTAATCCAACAAACAACTAATAATGATTTCGTCACCACAGACGTGTCACTTCAATTTTAACTGTAACCGAAACCGAGCCCATGGGACTGTCCCAGTCCCTCAGCGGAGAGAAACAGAGTGTGCAAAATAAATGTGTGTGAAATATGTTGTATCTTTTAAGATCCTAAAAACATTTTATTTAGAAAAGAGATTTATGTTCTAGTCTACACTCAGTTATGTAGATACACATAAATATATTCTACATAAAAGTCAGAACAACTAAACGTGTGTATATTTCGGACAAATTCAAGCCAGTTTAGTTTATTTGTATGGCACTTTTTACAATACAAAGGAGCATTAAGCAGCATCAGCTTTATAATTTCTGTTGCCAAAAAAGCTCTCAAACAGACAAGCATAAACACACACACGCACAGAGAGAGAGAGAGAGAGCGAGAAACACACTCACTTCCCTTTTGTGAAAAATGCAAATAAAGCCAACGACTGACTAATAATATCACCCACCTGCATATACCACTATCTCATCTGATTCTCTCTATCTATCTCCCCCTCAACACTCACACTTCATCCTTCATTTCTGACTTATTCACCATTCCTTTCATCAAAACTTCGTTCTTGCCAACTACACAAAACAATGAGGTCTTACCAGATATTGATAATTAATATCTGACTCCTTCAGGGGGCAGTACAACTTTAAAAAAAACGTGACTGTAATAATCCCAGAGAAAGTTACACAGGAAAACTCCTGTAAAAGCCACCAAAAAGCTGAAGAATTGCCGACTTCCTCAGACAATCAAATCCAGGGTCCACTGACAGTGATTGGTGAAAGGAAGTAAAAAGGGAGGAAAGCCCCTCTCGAGGCCCTTCAGCAAACAGGCTATATCTATGAGGGTTTCCACATAGCCTGCTGGTAAAATAGTGCTCTGATGGCTCAGGCTGAAAGTTTGAGAATATTTTCAGATTGTGTCACACACAAGTTCTGACTATTTTGAGTATGGTATCATAATTCATCTGAATAAAATAAGCTGACTAGAGGTCTTCAGAGAAGCATCGTTGATTTGAAGCAAAAAAGTGTTTTTAATCAGGGTTTATTTTATGTGGATCATCACAAACCTATCTGACACCTTGCAGTCTATGATAACTCATTTGATATACATCCACCGCAGTTTCGCATTATCAAATTTAGAATATAAGGTTTGTTTTATATGAAGTGAATGTGCAGTTCATCATTCATATGAAGTTAATATGAAAGAGTGCCTGATGGCTTTGGTGTTAATGTCTCACTTCCCTCTTTGTTTCCCCTCAGGCTGGGGCATACACAAAGTGTTAAACCAAACCCTTCGGGCCAGCTATTATTAATGCACACATTCACATGCACACTCACACATGCGCACATGCTTAAATGTAAGTGCTGCTATATAATATAAAGTCCTTATACACTAACTGACACACACAGTTCTGTTTCTTATTTATTTTGAACTTCTCTATTTCATAACTTCTGTATTACAAAGATCTCTATTCTTTTTTTAAAATCTGAAATAAATATGCTTACACCGCCTGCACATACTGGAAATTATTTCCAAGCTAAATTATTGTAATGCAATATTAATTGACAATAATAATACTCCACATTTCAGAGGAAAAAAGAGACTTTCTGCACACCTTCAGCAATACATGTTTCGTCTCTTATTTCTATGTTAACCTCATATTCACTAATTTTACCTTATTTTCCATTTGGCAGTTCCATGCAACCTCTTTTATAAGTGGCTTACATTTAGCAAATACATTTTTCCTCTGAGCTGAACCCATGATTTCTGTCCTTCTACCACCACGTTATACTACTGTTGAGTCTTTATTAATCTTCAGGATCCCTGAATGTGCCTGTTATCTAGCAGAGGCTCATTTTCGCCTGTTATCTAGCAGAGGCTCATTTTCAGCCACCAGTCACATATTTTTACTTTTTGATGCCACATGTAAAGATGAAGAGCTTTCTTTTAACAAGAATCAGGGCAATCTCAGATCTCAATCTCCATCACAGCATGAATTAACCTCTCAATTTGCTCATCTCAATTAGTTTGTATTTAACCGCGTATTCATAATCTAAAGGTGTCTGGGTTCCAATAGACTTACTTTTCTGACTGCCAATAACTAGGGATATAATGATTCACTCAACTCACGATGCGATTTAAGACAAATTATAAATGAAAAGATGTCCTTTTATTATTGCTTGGACAAAATGCTGAACATTTCTTTGTGAAATTGAAATATGAAATTTTAAAACAAACCCAAATCAAATAAATAAATAACACAAATAAAATAAATCTCTTCATATAAACAAACTAAAGCTTTGCCTGTGCCTTTTCCATGAAGATGAAAAGAAAATATCATCTAAACTGTTCTAAAGACAATCGTTTCCCCTTAAAGATGCATTCATATAAACTCCTACTCCCAACTGTATCGCGATTCGTTTAATATCTCAACCGATTTGAATCGTCACATATTTGTATCGATTTTCAACCGGCTACATCCCTTCCGATTACTAACCTCTCTCCCATTTTACAATGTTTGAAAGGTCAGATAATGTCAGTTATGATAATGCAAGTTGTCTTTAGGAGCATTATAGCTGGTTTCTACCTGCTAGAATCTTCACAGTAAGTGAAGGCAACACTCCTCAAGGAAGCATTCTTACTCCTTCGCATAGCAAACACACACTATACTAACAGAGTGCACTATACACGTACTAATGTTCATTATTAAAGGCAATAGTTCCTGTACTGTGATCTGTCTGACAGAGTTGCAGTTGGGAGCTGGGGAAGGGGAAACCCCATGAAGAACTTCACACTGGGTTTCCCAGAGGGTCCCTTATACACTTCCAGTCAATAAATGTAATTTCATAACCTCCTCCAGACTAAAAAGTGCTTATTTGCCTGATGAACCAGCAAAACATTTAGACACAACGATACACAACGGTAGTGTATTAACCAGAAGAGAAGAACTTCACACTGGGTTTCCCAGAGGGTCCCTTATACACTTCCAGTCAATAAATGTAATTTCATAACCTCCTCCAGACTAAAAAGTGCTTATTTGCCCGATGAACCAGCAAAACATTTAGACATACACAACGGTAGTGTATTAACCAGAAGATTTTTTTGTACACAATACCACAAACTGACGTTGTTGTTAACCACTTAAAAGTCAGATATGCTGAGCTCTCTGAATTTAGGAAGAGAAAAACATAGCTTTTGGTTTTTAGTTTTAAAATACTGTAATTAATGATTGTGCCTTTGAAATTAATGCAGAGAATTGTTTTATTATTCTGAGGATTTCAAAACAGAAATCACAAGACCACCAGTTCATGCAGTGCTTAGTAAAAAAACAGATCATTGAAGAGTTCTCACATTTTCCTAAATTACAAATCCTACAATGAGTACATGAGATTGCCAAGAAAAAATGCCCCCTAAATCTCACATCCTCACTGTGGCAGCAAGAGTCTTGTGAGAAAAGCCACAGAGGTCAGTAGGTGAGAATGCAAGAATTAAGCCATTACTCAAAAAAAAAAAAAACGTTATATTGCTAATATGAGTAAAAAGTGTGGCCAATTTGTGGCCAAAACCTGTGAACATTTCTATATATTGTGCAAATTTAATACTGGCCACACTTCAAAAACCAACAGCCTCACAGTGAAGGTGTTGGAAGCGTCATGCTGTGGATTTGCTTTTCATCAGCAGAGCCTGGGCATCTTATCAAAGTACGTGGAAAAATAGATGCTGCAAAACGCAAGGAAATACTACAAGAAAATGTCTTTCTGTCTGCTGAACTTCAGCAGGACAATGATCTTAAACTACGAGAACATGAAGGTGAAAGTCCTACACTGGCCCAGATTTTAACCCAAAAATTTGGAGGCATCTGAAAAGATGAATCATAAGATGAATCGCTTGTCATATTCCTCATTTGTAAGATGCTTTGGATAAAAGCATCTGCTAAATGAATAAATGTAAATGTAAAAACTGCAGCGTACAAACATCACCTGACTACATGAACAGCATAAATCTGGGCACAAACGGCTCCAAAATATAGTTAAACAAATAAAACATTTTGAATATATAATAATTCTAATATTTTTGTTTTGGGGGAATAAATGTAAATATTTTTCTCATTAAATTAAAAAAGCATTAAAATAATTTCTACAAAATCATTTGAATTTTCAGTGTTTTGGGGGGGAAAACACAGAAAATGTGTGAATCCTTTTGCAAAGCACCATAACATAAATCCTTCTATTTCTAGAGAAAATAGACACCCCAAAATTATCTGGGCACAAACGGCTCCAAAATATAGTTAAACAAATAAAACATTTTGAATATATAATAATTCTAATATTTTTGTTTTGGGGGAATAAATGTAAATATTTTTCTCATTAAATTAAAAAAGCATTAAAATAATTTCTACAAAATCATTTGAATTTTCAGTGTTTTGGGGGGGGAAACACAGAAAATGTGTGAATCCTTTTGCAAAGCACCATAACATAAATCCTTCTATTTCTAGAGAAAATAGACACCCCAAAATTCACAAAACATATTTTGGAATTTCTGCCTTTGTGTAACTTTGCATAGCTCTTTCTTTCAGTTTCTCTACACTAAACCTTCTTGGTCTGATGACCTCGGATGTCCCTGCATTTCTAATGAATCCATCAATAAAACTCAGAAGAGACCAACCTGGCAACCACCCTGATACTCCAGACACATACCTGGCAACCACATATGGGAGTAATCCATGGATGCAACAGGACCGGTCTTTGTCATGTTGATGAATATGTGTGCAGTCGTTCAGTGAAGTCCTCTTCCTCTCACACACATGAATACACTCTTACTCTTTCTCTGTCTCACTCTCTCCGCGCCTCTTTGACTCTGTCAGTGTGCGGCCAAGAAGGAGGAACAAACTGATAACAAGTGGGGGGGTGAACTCTCCACTCCTCCTTCTCTCCTCCCTCCGTCACCTCCTCTCTACGCTATACTCACCCACACCTCTGCCCCCTCTTGCCCACTTCCTGACCCCGAGAGAGCAAGAAAGGAGCAGGTCAGGGCAGACATGCCACATTTACAAGAATGCAACACTGACTGCATTTTACACTCGTAAGTGTGTTACAGGTTGTTTCATTGAGCGAATTCATGCGTCGGTCGCATTTGGAGGAGGAAATGCTGAGGAAGACAAGCAGGATGGTGAGCGTGCGAAGGAGGAAGTGAAGCGCTGTCGATCGGTGGGCTGAAGAGTGGGGTCAGGTGAAGAGAGAGAGGATGAAAGAGGTTGAGAGTGGGAAGGCAGCAGAGAGGAGCGAGAGATGAAAGAATAAGCAGATGGTGTGATAGAGGTAAAAAGAGGGGGAGAGTTGTGCCGCTGGAAAGTGCTGGGGTTGCTGGAAAGAGTAGCTCACGAGTCCTGCGGTGACTCTCCGTCTCTTGCACACCCATTTCACGCCGTATCTCTACTGTATATCAACACATCTGTCACAACACAAGCCTCCATCAGAAAATACAGAATGAGGACGCTTGCTCACACGGCTTTTTTCCAACCTCACACGTCCACACTGGGGCATGAATCACTCTGTAGGAGCCCAAAACAAAACAGAGAAAGCAAAGCAAGCTGTATGTGTTGTGATATAAAACTGTAATGTGTCTAAAGCTCATTGACTGAAAATAAAAATGTCCAAACTACATGTTCCGCATCAGTGAACAGTGTGGACACACCAAATTGTCATTATATGTTAATGTTATTATTTTACACATTTTCGAAAAATACTAAAGTTATTAAAAGGTATAAAACAACACGAATAGAGGTGCCTCCTGGGATGCTTTTGTGTTGAAGTGTTAAGTCCTTATTGGCTTCTTTTCTCTATTTGCTCCAATTCAAATAAAAAAAAAATCTAAAATTGTTCTAAAGAAAATCATACAGTGACACAATATTTGTATAGTAAATGTATTTGAAGGATTTATGCATGAGCCTTTTATACAAAAGTTCTTAAAACTCTTAAGAAACAGTTACATTTGAATGGTGCTGTATATTGTAAGTTTCCAGCAGTATTTGCATCTTCATAAATTTAAAAGGATTTAAGAAAATGTAATCCCAATAATCTGAATATTAAATAAATAATATACTAATCTTAATATGATATATAACAAAAAAGATTTCCTATAAAAGGAAGATTTTAGCATATGTACATATAAACAATATGATACTGTATATTTAGGATCATAGTTTTAGGGTGTTGAGTGAAGAGGTTGAGTGATGTAAAAGCATTCCATCTGAACATTCATATATATATATATATATATATATATATATATATATATATATATATATATATATATAACAGATGTCTATA